TTCTTTCACGAATAGGAGCCTACATTACCGCCGAGGGTTGTAGGCTATTTTTTATTCGGCTAAAAATGCACCTATTTACTGTAAAAAATCATAATAAACTTTAAATGAAGTCGAAAAACTGTCATTTTTGTAATTGATAAATCTCTATTTAAAAGTAAAAGATAGCGTATATAGGACACAAGTACAATTTTTTTTTCCAATTTATTATGCTTTGTGATGAAAAACTAGGCGTTTCACTGAAAACTTACAGCGCCTTTAAACTGTATAAAAAGTGCGCGTGTGTGCAATTCACGCATGGTAGAAGTGAAACTTCATAGTATCAGCATAGTATATTCATTGCGAGGGTTCATCCTTTGTTACGTTTTAATGTTTAGTATAGATTTCTTACAGATGAGATATTTTTTCGCAGTAAAAAGTATCCTGTATGTGGACCCGGATAACCAGCTATCATCATACAAAAATTTCATTAAAATCCCTGAAGTGGGTTTTCCGTGATGCGGTAAATAAAAGTTGTGCAGTAAGAACGTAAAACATTACGTATAAATTTACCGTAAATAAATAATGTACGATGTGCCTCGGTAGTGTAGTGGCTAGCATGTACGGCTGCACATTCGGAGGTCCTGGGTTCGAGTCCCGGGTCGGGCCAAGTTTAGTTATTGAGTCTTTCTGTATAGTAAGCCTCAGTAACAGCCCGGAGTTGGGAAGTTGGCGGTGTTTCACACCCGTGCCTCGGAGAGCACGTAAAGCCGTCGGTCCTGCGCCTTAACTCTCACCGGTCGTGTCGAGTAGTCGTCCCACCGGAGTATGAGAGTGACAGGAATAGAGAGTGCACTTGTGTCTGCGCGTACACTTGTGCACTATAATATCTCCTGCGCAGTTGGCTAGTCTCAATGAGATTAGCCGCCGTGGTCGGAATCGGCCAGGAGAACATCATCCGTGATCCTGATAGCTTTAAAGCATTCGAAACTTTGAGAAACAAAAATTCGAATCAAAATTCCGCGTTAAATCCGAAAAGATAGTTTATTTAAAAGTATGATAAAATAAAGGTATCAGACGAAATAACGTGGAAGAGGATCAAAAATCACAAATCCTTGTATTTATAATATTAGTACAATTACCTACTACTTAAATTAATTAGAACAATAAATTAACTAACTACCTCAATATAGTTAAACTTAACTCTAGTTTCACCGTACGCTTACGCCAGCAAGGCGCTCTACCTTCTAAAACTAGCAATTTCAACTCACCAACTGCAAGTGTACGCGTTCAGAATAATGATTTCATTTCATTATTTACACTCTCCCCCGAACTTGTCGCTTCTGCTTACCTTAGCAATTAAACGGGGATTTTTTTCTTAACGAATCCTATACAAAGATGTCTCCCAATAAAATTAGATTCATTGTATGACTCAGAGTCAAAATTGTTTACGGAGATATAAATATTTAAGTAGGTACTTACAATCAATTATTAATGTCAATTGAGTCCAAATCTATACATATAATAAAATAGTAGCACAGCGAAATCTGTACATAAAATATTTTTTAAAACAATACGAGCCAGTATTGAAATTTATTTAAAAACAAACTATTACAATCAATCTAAATGCATTGCTGACATTTTACGTTAAGACATAAACCTGTATACAGTCCTCCCCTACTATATATTTTATGTTGTAAATGTTAAGTTGCCGGATTAATTGAAAACAATATTTTAATAATTCTTCTTCCATTAATCATTTCATTCTATCGCGAAAGCACTGCATGAGATCATTCAACAAAAGAGCACTTACCCTTCGAAACTCATCGCATTTTGTTTCAATATTTCACTTTTACAGAATTGTTTAACATCGCTCGCAGTGTTTTATACGTAAGTATATATTAAAATTAATTTCAAAGAAAGGTATATAAAAGAAAGTCAAAAGTAAAGAATTTAATTTATCATTAGCGGTACGTTTTAACTATTAGTATGAAATACAAATCTTTGAATTTCTCGGCTTTTCTGTACTATAGGTAATATGCATGTATTATACTATATATAAACCTTCCTCTTTAGTCACTCTATCTATTGCTGAAAACTGCATTAAACTTTTTTTTCAGACATCTGTTCGTGTTCGTGATTCAAGTGACAGTTATCCCTTTATGTTATCCTTAGATTTCTTTTATTAACCCCCCGATGCAAAAAGAGGGGTGGTATAAGTTTGACGTCGATGTCTGTCTGTCTGTGTATGTATGTGTGTCCGTCTGTGGCATCGTAGTTCTCAAACGGATGGACCGATTTCGATGCGGTTTTTTTTCATTTGAAAGCCAGTTTCCTTGCGGTGGTTCTTAGCTATGTTTGGTTAATATCGGTCCAGCAGTGTAAGAGTATCAGCTCTTTTCCAAAATAATGTAAGGCATTTTTTAGATATTATTACTTCATGTATATCAATTTACACAACGACGATCGATTATATATATATTGTTTTTTTTTTTTGGTTTGGGTTAGGTTTGGCGAAAAATATTCCAATGAGTTATTAGATATTATTACTTCATGTATATCAATTTACACAACGACGATCGATTATATATATTGTTTTTTTTTTTTTGGTTCGGGTTAGGTTTGGCGAAAAATATTCGAATGAGTTATTAGATATTATTACTTCATGTATATCAATTTACACAACGACGATCGATTATATATATATTGTTTTTTTTTTGGTTTGGGTTAGGATTGGCGAAAAATATTCCAATGAGTTATTAGATATTATTACTTCATGTATATCAATTTACACAACGACGATCGATTATATATATATTGTTTTTTTTTTTTGGTTTGGGTTAGGTTTGGCGAAAAATATTCCAATGAGCTATTAGATATTATCACTTCATGTATATCAATTTACACAACGACGATCGATTATATATATATATTGTTTTTTTTTTGGTTTGGGTTAGGTTTGGCGAAAAATATTCCAATGAGTTATTAGATATTATTACTTCATGTATATAAATTTACACAACGACGATCGATTATATATATATTGTTTTTTTTTTTGGTTTGGGTTAGGTTTGGCGAAAAATATTCCAATGAGCTATTAGATATTATCACTTCATGTATATCAATTTACACAACGACGATCGATTATATATATATTGTTTTTTTTTTTGGTTTGGGTTAGGTTTGGCGAAAAATATTCCAATGAGTTATTAGATATTATTACTTCATGTATATCAATTTACACAACGACGATCGATTATATATATATTGTTTTTTTTTTTGGTTTGGGTTAGGTTTGGCGAAAAATATTCCAATGAGTTATTAGATATTATTACTTTATGTATATCAATTTACAAAACGACGATCGATAATATATACATTGTTTTTTTTTTGGTTTGGGTTAGGTTTGGCGAAAAATATTCCAATGAGTTATTAGATATTATTACTTCATGTATATCAATTTACACAACGACGATCGATTATATATATATTGTTTTTTTTTTGGTTTGGGTTAGGTTTGGCGAAAAATATTCCAATGAGTTATTAGATATTATTACTTCATGTATATCAATTTACCCAACGACGATCGATTATATATATATATTGTTTTTTTTTGGTTTGGGTTAGGTTTGGCGAAAAATATTCCAATGAGTTATTAGATATTATTACTTCATGTATATCAATTTACACAACGACGATCGATTATATATATATATTGTTTTTTTTTTTGGTTTGGGTTAGGTTTGGCGAAAAATATTCCAATGAGTTATTAGATATCATTACTTCATGTATATCAATTTACACAACGACGATCGATTATATATATATTGTTTTTTTTTTGGTTTGGGTTAAGTTTGGCGAAAAATATTCCAATGAGTTATTAGATATTATTACTTTATGTATATCAATTTACACAACGACGATCGATTATATATATATTGTTTTTTTTTTGGTTTGGGTTAGGTTTGGCGAAAAATATTCCAATGAGTTATTAGATATTATTACTTCATGTATATCAATTCACACAACGACGATCGATTATATATATATATTGTTTTTTTTTTTTTTTTTGGTTTGGGTTAGGTTTGGCGAAAAATATTCCAATGAGTTATTAGATATTATTACTTCATGTATATCAATTTACCCAACGACGATCGATTATATATATATTGTTTTTTTTTTTGGTTTGGGTTAGGTTTGGCGAAAAATATTCCAATGAGTTATTAGATATTATTACTTCATGTATATCAATTTACACAACGACGATCGATTATATATATATATATTGTTTTTTTTTTTGGTTTGGGTTAGGTTTGGCGAAAAATATTCCAATGAGTTATTAGATATTATTACTTCATGTATATCAATTTACACAACGACGATCGATTATATATATATTGTTTTTTTTTTGGGGTTAGGTTTGGCGAAAAATATTCCAATGAGTTATTAGATATTATTACTTCATGTATATCAATTTACACAACGACGATCAATTATATATATATATATTTTTTTTTGGTTTGGGTTAGGTTTGGCGAAAAATATTCCAATGAGTTATTAGATATTATTACTTCATGTATATCAATTTACACAACGACGATCGATTATATATTGTTAGCGGAGAATGCTCAAGAATAGGGGCGTGGCTTGAGTGACGTAATTTGTGGCGTGATGGTGGCGTGGTGGCTCGCTTGACAACGCACGAGTCGCCGACACTGGAGCGGCTAACTTACTTTTGTCGTGGCTGCCGGAACGGACGGACGTTCACATCATCGCTTCTCTTATTTATTTTAGTATTGTTAATATTGTTTATTATTCGTTAAAAAATAATAAAAAGTAATATCTTTAATTTCATCGTGTATAATTTTTTTTATAATAAAGTTAGTGCATAGATAAAATCAGAAGTGGGATACGCATTAAGTTTCTATAGCTTGGTGTGTGTCCCTAAGCCTGCTGTGGCATTCTGATGTAACTGTTTTTGTAAATCTTTTTAGTTTTGAGTGAAAGTTCGTCAGCTTTTTATAATGCCGAAATCAAGTACAAGTCAACGAAAAAATAAAAGTAGGACATGTGAACGTTCTCCGAGCCCTGGGCTGCTCCAACAACTCCAGGCGATTGTTTCTCGTCTGAATGTGTTGGAAGACAATTCCAGGTTAGGTTCAACTAGTGTGGCTACCATTGGCGGGCAGCCCGTAGTGGAGTCGCCGGGTCCGGCGGTTGGCACCATAGTGTCGCGTGCACCATCTACATCGCGAACGACGTGTGTGACGCCTCCACTGCCGTCTGTGCACGCTTCGCAGGTCTCCGCCAATGATAGCGCTGCTATTGAGGTAGCCGACAAGATTGTAAGTGCAATCAATGGACTAATTCCGGTAAGGTCTAATCATAATGTTTATATATCGAATTTTGATCCTAATATAAATGATATTAATACTTGGTGTGACGAGGTCGCCCATTTACGAATCATTCATCAATGGGACGATAGGGAGTGTTTGGCGCGTATTGGTAACTGCTTAAAGGGGGACGCTCGTGTGTGGTTAAATGACTGGATTACTAGCGATCGGAGCTGGACTAATTTTAAACGTGAGTTCAAACCTTTGTGTCCGCGGAAGGTAGACGTAGCGAATATACTTTTTGACACTATGAAAACTGATTCTAATAACTACCCTACATATGCGGAGTATGCTAGGCGATCTTTGTTACGTCTTCGTATAGTAAACGGACTTAGTGACGAATTAATATCGGCGATCGTAATCCGTGGTATAGTTGATCCACAGATCCGTGCGGCTGCTATCAATGCAAAATTAATGCCCAATGATCTGGTCGAGTTCTTGTCTATATATGTAAAACCCTCTCAGACGAAAGTAAATCATAATACCCGCAACATTTCTAGTCGTTTTCATAATACACCGACTTTATCGCGTAAAAGGGAACATAGTTCTAGTAGAACGGGTTGTTTTTCGTGTGGATCCTTTGGTCATAAGCAGATAAATTGTTCGAAGCGTACAAGATTACATAATTCACCTACTAGAAATGATAAACCTACAACATCAAAAACAAGTAGCAGTTCCTCTCAGTCAAAGTCTGTTATTTGCTCGTTTTGTAAAAAAATAGGTCACAAAACAGAGGACTGCTTTGCCAAGCAACGTGTCGAGGCTAATGGAAAATCTAATGTTAATTTTTGCCGTGACACTGTAGATAACTATAGAAAGAATGATATAACTACGGCGGTCATACAGGGTATCCCGGTCGATATCCTCATAGACAGTGGGTCCACGATCTCGCCTATGTCAGACTCTGTATCGAAGTATTTTAAATGCAAGCAAGTACCCTCTTTTTGTGTTTTACGCGGTATTAGTGATCGTGATATTGAATCCCGTTATTTTAGTACTTTAACAGTAGAGTTTCCGGAAATCACATTAGAAATTGATTTTCAAATAGTACATGACAAATTTTTGAATACCCCGATAATAATTGGAACCGATGTTTTGAACCGAGAAGGGGTTACGTATATAAGGAAGAAGGGTATTCAACGATTAACTCGTATGGAAAGGGTATTTATTGCTGAGACGACTGAGTCAAATTTGATCTCCGTTATTAATACTCCTTTGATAGGTGAAAACAAGGACAAGTTGTTGAATTTGGTTGAACAATATTCAAAATATTTCATTACTGGTACCGCGATCAGTACTGTTACTACCGGATTTATGCAAATTCGTCTCAGCAATGAAACTCTTATTGTATATAGGCCTTATAAACTATCGCATAGTGAAAAACTCCGCGTTCGGGATATAATTAAGGACCTTCTTGATAAAGGGGTCATAAGGGAGTCAGAATCAGAATTCTCGAGTCCAATATTACTAGTCAAGAAGAAAGACGGTAGCGACAGAATGTGCGTGGACTTCCGGGCACTTAATTCAAATACTGTGAAGGATCGCTACCCATTGCCATTGATAGATGATCACGTGGATCGATTAGGTAATGCCAAATATTTCACGAGTCTTGATATGGCTACTGGCTTTCACCAGATACCGATGGCTAGCGACTCCATTCACAAAACTGGTTTTGTAACACCTGAGGGGCATTTTGAATATCTCAAGATGCCCTATGGGTTGGCGAATGCCCCGGTTGTTTACCAACGCATTATCACAAATACCCTAAAGACATTCATTGAAACAGGAAGGGCCTTAGTGTATATTGACGATGTGCTTTTGCCTAGCCAGACTATTGATGAAGGACTCCTCATTTTGCGTGAAGTTTTAGAAGTTTTAACTAAAGCCGGATTTTCAATAAATTTAAAGAAATGTAAATTCCTTACTAACGAAATAAAATATCTGGGGAGAACAATCAGCAATGGTCAGGTTAGGCCAAGCGCTCATAAAGTAGAAGCCTTGAAAAGGGCACCGAGGCCCAGTAATGTAAAACAAGCACGTCAATTTCTAGGCTTGGCGGGTTATTTTAGACGTTATATTCCTGAGTATTCATTAAAGACAATGTGCATATCCAATTTATTTCGAAAGGGTGTTGAGTTTCGATGGGGTGACGAACAAGAGCAAGTTCGCCAGTACATTATTACACGTTTGACTGGCGAACCAGTTCTTGACATTTTTAACCCCTTATTACCTACGGAAGTGCACACTGACGCTTCGTCACTAGGCTATGGGGCTGTCTTAATCCAGACTCATGAGAGTGGTAGTAAGCGGGTGTTTGGGTACTTTAGTAAAGTTACTCAGGGTGCTGAACCGCGTTACCACTCTTATGAGCTTGAAACGCTGGCAGTGGTCAAGGCGTTGCAATATTTCAGACATTACCTCATAGGTATACATTTCAAAGTAGTTACGGACTGCAACGCCTTGAAGCTCACACAGCGAAAGAAAGATTTATTACCGAGGGTTGCTCGGTGGTGGATCTATTTGCAAGACTATGATTTTGTATTAGAGTATCGCAAAGGCGCTGCGTTACCTCATGCCGATTATTTAAGTCGTAATCCGATAAATATTTGTGAGATTAGAAGACCTTGTAATTGGGCACAGGTAGCGCAAAATGCGGACGAGGAAACCAAAAACTTAATACAAAAATTGGAGGACGGTGTACTAGATGGGACACGTTATGTATTAAAAAATAATATTCTGTATTATAAGTTTGATTCTGCTGGTCAGCCTACTAAACTTCTCTGTTTTATCCCTAAAGGTCACCGCCTTAGTCTATTGCGTGTGTTTCACGATGAGCATCATCATATTGGTGCAGATAAAACAATTGATTTAATTCTAAATCATTTTTGGTTCCCTAATTTAAGACAATTTGTCCGCAAATATATACGTCATTGCATAGTATGTCTTTCACATAAAAAGGTACCACGTCAACCTTTGCAGCCGATCCAGTCGTGGAGAAAACCTGACGTACCTTTCGATACGGTACATAGTGATGTGTTAGGTCCTCTCCCCGAGTCGAACGGCTACAAATTCGTTGTATTAATAGTTGATGCATATAGTAAGTTCTGTTTGTTGTATCCAATATATAAACAAGACGCTAATGAACTGAAGCGTGTCTTTGAGAATGCTATATCCTTATTTAGCACACCTAGGCAGATTGTAGTCGATAGAGGTAGAATGTACGAAAGTAGATTATTTAAACAATGGGTGTCAGACGTGGGCAGTAGTTTATTCTTTATAACACCTGAGACGCATCAGAGTAATGGTCAGGCTGAGCGATATTGCAGGACAATTCTGAATATGATTCGTGTGGAGGTTAATTTTAGAAATGAAAGTTGGTCAGAAGTCTTATGGAAACTGCAGCTCACTCTGAACATTACGAAACAAAAGTCCACTCAATATTCACCCTTATTTTTGTTAATTGGCAGCGATGGTGTGACGCCCGTTATCCGTTCAGTTGTGCGTGATGTGGCCCTTGAAGGAACAAGTGGCAATCGCGAGGCCTTACGTGAGCTGGCCAGACAAAGAGCATCTCAATTGCTGGATCAAAACAGAAAACAGCAAGACACTCGAGTAAATGAACGGCGCAAGCCCCCACATGTTTTTCATGAAAATGACATGGTCTTCGTACATAAGAACAGTCAATCTGTGGGCAAACTTGACTCTGGCATGCGCGGTCCGTACAAAGTTGTGCGCGCATTGCCTCATGGTCGATACGAGCTGAAGCTTATTTCTGGCTCACTCGGGAAGACCACAGAAGCTGCTGCTGAGCATATAAGTGCTTGGCACGGAGAATGGACACCAGATGTGTGCGCCGTATTCTTCGAGTGTTAGTATATTTGTAACTGTAATAGGGACTATTTGCATTGTATCACTTAAGCGATATAATAAAAATAGTACTTTATTACATGTTGGTCATCCTGTGGGCTCTGACACATAACATGTTATGTATAATTGTTTTATTTTGAGATATACCGCGGTCACTGTCTCGGTCATCCTGAGGGCTCTGACACATGTTAAAATTCATGTATTTAAGAACATGCTGCGGCCTCTGTTGTTGAATTACAATTTTTCAGTATTTTATTGCTGGTATGGTTTATTTTGTTGGCATAATTCCATCGTAAACATTATATTTCCAGGTGATGAGAATGAGAGCTGCTCTGACGATAGCATCATCGCTGGCCCGTCGCACCTACGTGACGTCACCATAGCTGAAAGAGCGGGCGAGGGCGCTCCGCCGTCAGGAGAGGCCGTGTTAGCGGAGAATGCTCAAGAATAGGGGCGTGGCTTGAGTGACGTAATTTGTGGCGTGATGGTGGCGTGGTGGCTCGCTTGACAACGCACGAGTCGCCGACACTGGAGCGGCTAACTTACTTTTGTCGTGGCTGCCGGAACGGACGGACGTTCACATCATCGCTTCTCTTATTTATTTTAGTATTGTTAATATTGTTAATTATTCGTTAAAAAATAATAAAAAGTAATATCTTTAATTTCATCGTGTATAATTTTTTTTATAATAAAGTTAGTGCATAGATAAAAATATTGTTTTTTTTTTTTTGGTTTGGGTTAGGTTTGGCGAAAAATATTCCAATGAGTTATTAGATATTATTACTTCATGTATATCAATTTACACAACGACGATCGATTATATGTATATTGTTTTTTTTTTGGTTTGGGTTAGGTTTGGCGAAAAATATTCCCCCGGGGGAGAAGCCAACTCCTACCGGGCGCGTCCCCAGGTGGCGGATAGGGGAATGCCACCCGCTTAGGGCGGCGGGTGGTACCGGAGAAATCCGGCGCGGACCAAATGGCTTGGATGGGGCCGCTCGTCTAGGCTTCGAGCCGAAGACGTTGCGGCCACCGGTGGTGGGACCGCTTGGTCCCACAACCGGATGATGGGTGCCGGTTGCGGGACTGTGGTCGCAGGCCCGCATCCGGCGGAGGAGTAGGCCGCGACGGGAGAGGAGTGCCGGTATTTCGGTGCGCCGTTCTCCCTACCTTCCGCGGCCTAGACGGGGCCGCCACCGTTCGATGGCGGACGCGGTGGGGCTGCAGGGGAAGAGGAGTGTCGGTGTTTCGTTGCCGCTCTCCCTGTCCTCTGCAGCCGATTGGAGGTGGCCCACTTCGGTGGGCGGTGGTTAGGTTTAATGGGGCTGCTCCGGGTACCTCTCTGGCGTAGCAGAGTTGACTGTGGAGCAGCCCCATTGGTTTGGTGGTCTGCCTTTTTAGGCAGACTTGCCGCCGGGGCGCTGTAGTAGTTATGCGCAAGCGATCCTGCGGCGTCCCATTAAGGCGGAGGGGAGGGGAAAAATTTTTGGCGAAAAATATTCCAATGAGTTATTAGATATTATTACTTCATGTATATCAATTTACACAACGACGATCGATTATATATATATTGTTTTTTTTTTGGTTTGGGTTAGGTTTGGCGAAAAATATTCCAATGAGTTATTAGATATTATTACTTCATGTATATCAATTTACACAACGACGATCGATCATATATATATTGTTTTTTTTTGGTTTGGGTTAGGTTTGGCGAAAAATATTCCAATGAGTTATTAGATATTATTACTTCATGTATATCAATTTACACAACGACGATCGATTATATATATATTGTTTTTTTTTTTGGTTTGGGTTAGGTTTGGCGAAAAATATTCCAATGAGTTATTAGATATTATTACTTCATGTATATCAATTTACACAACGACGATCGATTATATATATATTGTTTTTTTTTTGGGTTAGGTTTGGCGAAAAATATTCCAATGAGTTATTAGATATTATTACTTCATGTATATCAATTTACACAACGACGATCGATTATATATATATTGTTTTTTTTTTTTGGTTTAGGTTAGGTTTGGCGAAAAATATTCCAATGAGTTATTAGATATTATTACTTCATGTATATCAATTTACACAACGACGATCGATTATATATATATTGTTTTTTTTTTTGTTTGGGTTAGGTTTGGCGAAAAATATTCCAATGAGTTATTAGATATTATTACTTCATGTATATCAATTTACACAACGACGATCGATTATATATATATATATATATTGTTTTTTTTTTTTGGTTTGGGTTAGGTTTGGCGAGAAATATTCCAATGAGTTATTAGATATTATTACTTCATGTATATCAATTTACACAACGACGATCGATTATATATATATATTGTTTTTTTTTTTGGTTTAGGTTAGGTTTGGCGAAAAATATTCCAATGAGCTATTAGATATTATCACTTCATGTATATCAATTTACACAACGACGATCGATTATATATATATTGTTTTTTTTTTGGTTTGGGTTAGGTTTGGCGAAAAATATTCCAATGAGTTATTAGATATTATTACTTCATGTATATAAATTTACACAATGTACGCGCCCTTTGCAGAGTGTGTGTAGTGACATTTATTGTTATCTGTGTTACGTGATCTATGGCAACCCTGTAAAAAATAGACTTCCATATCCGCACTTACCTTTTTCTAATAATGGACTCCACGCCGACATTAAATAATTGTTAATGTTAAAAAAGTTAAAATTGTTGATGTAGAATTAAATATTGGTTTTGTCGCTTCCAAATTTGTTTTATTAATAAACAAGTGGCGACCGTGACAGGACGATTAAGTTCCTGCATATAAATAGACACATTGGGCCAACCACGTGCCGGTCAATAAGTAGCATCGCAGCACCTGGGCCCAAGAAGCGACTTCCAAGAAAGAGAAACCCTTCAGCATCCAACATCTTACATGGGCAAGCAGCAGCATTGTGGATGTGAATCCACAACACTTCTTCAGTCGACCAACCAGCTAAGTGTCCCTGCCTTTCCCACTACACTTCTAATCAATTCCTTCCAAGTATAGACTCCATTCTGTGTATGCAATAATATAATAATAACCCTCAACAGGTACCTAGCATCTCTAACCAAATTTTACAGGTTACCGAACAAAAGATTCATATAAATTAAATATTCAGTTTTTATGTTTAATAGGTACAAAGGACTACAATTTTCTACAATTACAAGCATAAAGCATATTTATATAATCATAATATATTATAATTTACATTCTAAAACGACAATATAGATACAGTAGTTACATATATAATTCACATCTAAATAATTCATATCTAAAATTTATATCTAAAAGCAAGAGTAAAAAGTGTTTCAAATTTATATTATCAATCTATTTGCATTAACATATTATAACTTACATCTAAAAATAAGGATAAATAATTAGTATTTGTATTTTACATATTATTGTTATATTTGTTTTATGTTAGGTATTTTTTCTATCATCCTACATTTATCAATTTCAGAAAACAAAGCTGGCTTGATACTTTCTGTCCCTTCTCCTTATTTAACTGGCTCGGGTAAGGCTACCTGCTTAGATCAGAATATCAGATTCCCCGGAGATTGAAGTAAGGCAATTTTTTATAATTTAGTATTGTTAATGCAAACATACAATCATGTCTGAAGTTAAACTGAGAGAACTTATTTTAAAACGAAGCTCAATAAAAGGACGTCTTACTAAATTTAAAAATTTTATAAATCAATATAAATTATTAACATCTGTAGACGAGATAGAAGTTGCTAAGTTGAATATTCAGTTAGGTAAGATTGAAAGTTTATGTACAGCCTTTGAAGAGATACAAGGTCAGATTGAGGTATTGAATCCAACAAATTTAGATGAGGAGCTCGAGGAGCGTGACTCCATTGAGTTAGAATTTGCCACTTTAATAGCTACGGCTCAACAATTTCAAACTACTCAAGCAAGCAGTTCTAAGGTAGAAGTTGGCGGCTCCTCCCATTGTTGCCATGAGCAAACTGGTCTAGGTTTTTAGGCCCCCTACATTGCAGATAGGAAAATTTGATGGGAGTTATAACAAGTGGCTTGAATTCAGAGATCTTTATTGTTCACTAGTTCATGATAACAAGTTCATACCTGCTCCGATCAAGTTTTGCTATCTAAACTCTTACCTGGAAGGTGAGGCCTCACGAGTAATCAGTAACCTCGAAGTAACTCAAGCGAATTACAATAAAGCTTGGGACCTGTTGTGCGAACGCTATGATAACAAACGTTTGTTAATTAAAGGTCATTTAAATTCATTATTGAACTTTGATATTAAGTCAAGTGAATCTGATAAGGTGCTTAGGTCTATAGTAGATAACATTAATAAGAATTTGCGTGCACTTGCAAGCCTTGGTGAGCCCACAACATATTGGGACACTTTAATAATCCATATAGTTTCTTCAAAGCTTGCAAGTCAAACTAGTATGAAGTGGGAAGAGTTCAGAAATTCGCTTCCTGACACTCCTTCTCTTGAACAGTTTAATAAATTTCTTAAAGACCGTGCTGACATTCTTGAAACTTACAACCATCCAAGGTCAAGCGGTAATACAAATAGTGAATTAAATAATTTTAATAAGAAGAAGCGGGCACAAGCCAACGTTTTCGCTGCCAGAATATCGGAGCTGACTGAGACTGTTAAGGGTCACGCTCCCACTTGTGAGGTCTGTAAAGGCACACACCGAATTTATGATTGCGAGAATTTTAAAAGTAAAACTATTGAAGAACGACAGGCGCTAGTAACTAATTTAAGGCTTTGCCGCAACTGCCTCCGTAGGGGTCACGACGTATATTACTGTCGCGCGAGATCTTGTCGCAAATGTAAAAGGCGTCACAATTCCTTAATTTGTAGCAACGGTAAACAATCATGCCCTCAGGGCAATGCTGCACATGCAATAGAAAATGTGTCTCCTCCCGCAGCAGAGCTCACTGTTAACTTAGCTAGAGATAATGTCAATAAGGTTACTCTTCTGTCCACAGCCTTGGTCGAGGCGGTTAATCCAGTTAATAATAAATCTGAAATCGTGCGCGTCTTATTAGACTGCGGCGCGGAGTCTAGCCTCATATCAAAGGGGTTGCAAGATAAATTAGATTTACAGTCAACACCGGTGGAGCCTATTAACTTAATAGGAATAGGCAATGCAACTTCTCACTGTACAAACAAAGTTTGTTCGTTTCATTTGAAATCTTTGCACAGTGACTATGTGGCGAAGTTGACATGTCCGGTACTACCGGAACTCACAGGTGACATCCCAAGGTTATCAATCAATACAAACAACCTCAACATTCCTTCCGATGTTCAGTTAGCCGATACAAATTTTCATAAATCGTCACCAATTGACGTATTGATCGGCGCTGATCTATTTTGGCACATCGTAGGATGCGAACGTCGATCTTTAGGTTCAAACAAACCTTACCTAATCAATTCAGAGTTCGGCTGGATTCTTTCTGGCCCCATTTATATAGGAACTCGGCCCTCTAACTTAAATTGCAATTTCCAAGTTGTAAGTCCTCAAGCAGACAATCTCGACAAGTTGCTTATTCGATTCTGGGAGCTGGAAGAAGCCTCGCCAAATAAATTATTAAGCCCCGATGAAAAGGCTTGTGAGGAACACTTCCAGGCTCATACAACTCGAGATTCCGCAGGCAGATTTTGCGTGCGCCTACCCCTCAAGGACTCACCTAGCTGCTTGGGAAATTCGTACATCACTGCCAGGAAAAGATTTTTAAACCTGGAGAAACGTTTTAGGGCACAACCCGAGCTCAAGGCTCAATACATTAAATTCATTAGCGAATATATCATGTTAGGGCACTGCACAGTCTTAAGCGGACCACGAGTGGAGCCGTCCTATTTCTTGAGTCATCATGCTGTCATTAAGGAACAAAGCGAATCAACCAAACTAAGGGTGGTGTTTGACGCATCGTGTTCTACGTCGTCTGGTGTTTCAATCAACGACTTGTAATATATTGGTCCCACGATTCAAGACACTCTGTTCTCCATTTTGTTACGTTTCCGTCAGTACCGATACGTCTTGACAGGTGATATTGAAAAGATGTTTCGCCAAATTCAGGTCCACGAAAGTGACCGCAACTTGCAACTCATTCTCTGGAGAAGCGATGAACATAGTCCCCTGCAGACTTTGAGACTCAATACGGTAACTTATGGTTTCGCAAGCGCTAGCTACCTAAGCACTAAATGTCTATGGCGTTTGGGTGAAGAATGTGGGGATGATCTCATAAAGACGATCATCCAACACGACTTCTATATGGACGATCTCTTGACGGGAGCCGATTCTATACCGGATTTGCGTCATATTTTCGATACAGTCGTATCCGTTTTACGCTCAGGTTGTTTTCCACTGCGGAAAATTCAAATCTAACGTACCTTCAATTTTCGAAAGTGCCCTGATAGACCCACAAGAAAATTTAACGCTAAGCGAATCTACTAGCATTTTAGGATTGCAATGGAAGCCTTCCACTGATACCTTGAATATCGTGGTAAGCATTCCAGATCAGACAGGTGATTATATAACGAAACGGTTGATACTTTCACATTCATTTAAAATATTTGACCCCCTAGGCCTTATCAGCCCTTGTACAATCCGACCTAAGGTACTCATGCAGGAATTATGGCGTCGCAGCATTGGCTGGGACGAACCAGTACCTTGTGACTTGCAGCAAACATGGGATGAGTTAAAACAGGACCTGAGCAAGTTAGAGTTCGCTCAGGTTCCCAGGTTAGCCCTTTGCGACTCACCTGTTAGCCTGGAGCTACACTCCTTTTGTGATGCATCTGCTACAGCACATGGTTGTTGTCTCTATATGCGGTCCGGCAATGATAATGGACAGGTAGTGGTTAGATTGCTATGCGCCAAATCTAGGGTTAATCCCAGCAAGCCGACTACGATTCCTCGTTTGGAATTGCTTGGAGCGTTACTAGCTGCTCGGCTGTGCCAAATCTGTTCTCGAGTCCCTTCGGTTGCAAGATTTCACGCTGTGTCCATTGGAGCGATTCTAGCGTAGTGCTGGGCTGGTTACGCACCAACCCTAGCAAACTAAAGACATTTGTTGCTAACAGAGTCATAGAAATCTCCGAGACTACTAAACCAGAAAATTGGCGCCATGTGCCTACAGCCTGCAACCCTGCGGACTTGATATCTCGAGGCACCAGGGCTAGCAGCCTCCTGGATTCTGATCTGTGGTGGTCAGGTCCAGAATTTTTAAGTAAGGCAGAACCCTTTTGGCCAGTCCATGGGAGAGCAGGCTGAACGTGAACTACCTGAAATAAAAATTCATTCTGTTCAAATTTCTGAAAATTTAATACCTTTTGAAAGATTTTCTAACTTAATTAGGTTGAAACGTGCGTTTGCGTTTGCTTTGCGTTTCATACACAATGCTAGAAGCCCTAAAACAAAACGAGTTGGGCCTTTAACAGTCGAAGAATTAGGTCAGTCTTTTACGCAACTTTGTAAATTCTCTCAGCTTCAATCATTCTCGAATGAATATCATGCTTTAGCTAACAGCCGTGATATTTCAGCTCAAAGCAATCTCAAATCGCTCAGTCCTTTTTTAGATAAAGATGGCGTCATGCGTGTTGGTGGTAGGCTAGAACATTCAGAATATGGCTATGACAAGAAGCATCCCGTACTATTACATTCAAAGCACCACTTATCAGATCTTATTTTTCGGTATGAGCACATTCAACACATGCACGCCGGTCCTCAGTTATTATTGTACACAGTACGAAATTATGTGTGGCCGTTGGGTGGAAGACAGCTGGCACGCCGAACGGTACGCAACTGTGTAAAGTGCAGACGTTTTCAAGGAAAAACAGTTACAAACCATTAATGGGCCAACTTCCGGCACAACGCACTATGCCAGCATTTCCTTTTCAAACAACTGGCGTTGATTTCGCAGGTCCGTTTACTATTTTAAATCGCAAGGGTCGCGGATCAAAGACTTCCAAATGCTATTTGTGTATTTTTATTTGCTTCAGATATAAATGCGTTCACTTAGAAGCAGTAACCGAACTTTCTAAAGAATCTTTCATATTAACGTTACGTAGATTCATCGGGCGCCGGGGTAAACCTCTTGAAATTTATAGTGACAATGGGAGGAACTTTGTCGCTACTGCCAAGGAGCTCGCTAGTTTTTTAAAAGACGGACCAAACTTTGTATCTGACTTTTCCGCTGTCGAACAAATTAAATTTCACTTCATCCCTGCCTACGCTCCAAATTTCGGGGGCTTATGGGAAGCAGGTATCAAGTCAGCTAAACATCACATAAAGCGCGTTGTAGGTAGTTCCAATTTAACTTACGAGGAGTTTTTCCACCTTGCTTGCACAGGTGGAGGCTATACTTAACAGCCGACCTCTTTGTCCCATATCATCCTCTCCTGATGACCTCCAATCCCTTACCCCAGGGCACTTTCTGATTGGTAGGCCATTAACGTCGCAGCCAGACCCGACACTTGAGGCAGAGAAGGCATCTAACCTGCAGCGTTACGCGCGAGTGGAGCAAGCCCGTCAGCATTTCTGGAGACGCTGGCAAAATGAATACATCAGCGAGCTGCAGCAGCGCACGAAGTGGCGCACCAATAAGAGCAACATCCTACGCGTGGGTGACTTGGTTCTTCTGCAGGAAGAGAACTGTCCTCCCCTGCATTGGCGGTTGGGACGTGTGAAGCTCCTGTTTCCGGGAATAGATGGAGTGGCCAGAGTAGCGGAACTCTCCACACAAAAGGGAGATGTACGCAGAGCTGTAACAAGGCTCTGCCCTCTGCTCTGCGAAGAAGAAAACGTTCAGTAATACCCAGGGTATTCCAGCGGGGGGAGTTCTGTACGCGCCCTTTGCAGAGTGTGTGTAGTGACATTTATTGTTATCTGTGTTACGTGATCTATGGCAACCCTGTAAAAAATAGACTTCCATATCCGCACTTACCTTTTTCTAATAATGGACTCCACGCCGACATTAAATAATTGTTAATGTTAAAAAAGTTAAAATTGTTGATGTAGAATTAAATATTGGTTTTGTCGCTTCCAAATTTGTTTTATTAATAAACAACAACGACGATCGATTATATATATATTGTTTTTTTTTTTTTGGTTTGGGTTAGGTTTGGCGAAAAATATTCCAATGAGCTATTAGATATTATCACTTCATGTATATCAATTTACACAACGACGATCGATTATATATATATTGTTTTTTTTTTGGTTTGGGTTAGGTTTGGCGAAAAATATTCCAATGAGTTATTAGATATTATTACTTCATGTATATCAATTTACACAACGACGATCGATTATATATATATTGTTTTTTTTTTGGTTTGGGTTAGGTTTGGCGAAAAATATTCCAATGAGTTATTAGATATTAGTACTTCATGTATATCAATTTACAAAACGACGATCGATAATATATACATTGTTTTTTTTTTGGTTTGGGTTAGGTTTGGCGAAAATATTCAAATGAGTTATTAGATATTATTACTTCATGTATATCAATTTACACAACGACGATCGATTATATATATATTGTTTTTTTTTTTGGTTTGGGTTAGGTTTGGCGAAAAATATTCCAATGAGTTATTAGATATTATTACTTCATGTATATCAATTTACACAACGAACGATCGATTATATATATATTGTTTTTTTTTTGGTTTGGGTTAGGTTTGGCGAAAAATATTCCAATGAGTTATTAGATATTATTACTTCATGTATATCAATTTACACAACGACGATCGATTATATATATATATTGTTTTTTTTTTTTGGTTTGGGTTAGGTTTGGCGAAAAATATTCCAATGAGTTACAAGATATTATTACTTCATGTATATTAATTTACACAACGACGATCGATTATATATATATTGTTTTTTTTTTTGGTTTGGGTTAGGTTTGGCGAAAAATATTCCAATGAGTTATTAGATATTATTACTTCATGTATATCAATTTACACAACGACGATCGATTATATATATATTGTTTTTTTTTTTGGTTTGGGTTAGGTTTGGCGAAAAATATTCCAATGAGTTATTAGATATTATTACTTCATGTATATCAATTTACACAACGACGATCGATTATATATATATATTGTTTTTTTTTTTTTTGGTTTTGGGTTAGGTTTGGCGAAAAATATTCCAATGAGTTATTAGATATTATTACTTCATGTATATCAATTTACACAACGACGATCGATTATATATATATTGTTTTTTTTTTGGTTTGGGTTAGGTTTGGCGAAAAATATTCCAATGAGTTATTAGATATTATTACTTCATGTATATCAATTTACACAACGACGATCGATTATATATATATATATATATATATATATATATATATATATATATATATATATATATTGTTTTTTTTGGTTTGGGTTAGGTTTGGCGAAAAATATTCCAATGAGTTATTAGATATTATTACTTCATGTATATCAATTTACACAACGACGATCGATTATATATATATTGTTTTTTTTTTGGGGTTAGGTTTGGCGAAAAATATTCCAATGAGTTATTAGATATTATTACTTCATGTATATCAATTTACACAACGACGATCGATTATATATATATATATATTTTTTTGGTTTGGGTTAGGTTTGGCGAAAAATATTCCAATGAGTTATTAGATATTATTACTTCATGTATATCAATTTACACAACGACGATCGATTATATATATATTGTTAGCGGAGAATGCTCAAGAATAGGGGCGTGGCTTGAGTGACGTAATTTGTGGCGTGATGGTGGCGTGGTGGCTCGCTTGACAACGCACGAGTCGCCGACACTGGAGCGGCTAACTTACTTTTGTCGTGGCTGCCGGAACGGACGGACGTTCACATCATCGCTTCTCTTATTTATTTTAGTATTGTTAATATTGTTAATTATTCGTTAAAAAATAATAAAAAGTAATATCTTTAATTTCATCGTGTATAATTTTTTTATAATAAAGTTAGTGCATAGATAAAATCAGAAGTGGGATACGCATTAAGTTTCTATAGCTTGGTGTGTGTCCCTAAGCCTGCTGTGGCATTCTGATGTAACTGTTTTTGTAAATCTTTTTAGTTTTGAGTGAAAGTTCGTCAGCTTTTTATAATGCCGAAATCAAGTACAAGTCAACGAAAAAATAAAAGTAGGACATGTGAACGTTCTCCGAGCCCTGGGCTGCTCCAACAACTCCAGGCGATTGTTTCTCGTCTGAATGTGTTGGAAGACAATTCCAGGTTAGGTTCAACTAGTGTGGCTACCATTGGCGGGCAGCCCGTAGTGGAGTCGCCGGGTCCGGCGGTTGGCACCATAGTGTCGCGTGCACCATCTACATCGCGAACGACGTGTGTGACGCCTCCACTGCCGTCTGTGCACGCTTCGCAGGTCCTCCGCCAATGATAGCGCTGCTATTGAGGTAGCCGACAAGATTGTAAGTGCAATCAATGGACTAATTCCGGTAAGGTCTAATCATAATGTTTATATATCGAATTTTGATCCTAATATAAATGATATTAATACTTGGTGTGACGAGGTCGACCATTTACGAATCATTCATCAATGGGACGATAGGGAGTGTTTGGCGCGTATTGGTAACTGCTTAAAGGGGGACGCTCGTGTGTGGTTAAATGACTGGATTACTAGCGATCGGAGCTGGACTAATTTTAAACGTGAGTTCAAACCTTTGTGTCCGCGGAAGGTAGACGTAGCGAATATACTTTTTGACACTATGAAAACTGATTCTAATAACTACCCTACATATGCGGAGTATGCTAGGCGATCTTTGTTACGTCTTCGTATAGTAAACGGACTTAGTGACGAATTAATATCGGCGATCGTAATCCGTGGTATAGTTGATCCACAGATCCGTGCGGCTGCTATCAATGCAAATTAATGCCCAATGATCTGGTCGAGTTCTTGTCTATATATGTAAAACCCTCTCAGACGAAAGTAAATCATAATACCCGCAAACATTTCTAGTCGTTTTCATAATACAACCGACTTTATCGCGTAAAAGGGAACATAGTTCTAGTAGAACGGGTTGTTTTTCGTGTGGATCCTTTGGTCATAAGCAGATAAATTGTTCGAAGCGTACAAGATTACATAATTCACCTACTAGAAATGATAAACCTACAACATCAAAAACAAGTAGCAGTTCCTCTCAGTCAAAGTCTGTTATTTGCTCGTTTTGTAAAAAAATAGGTCACAAAACAGAGGACTGCTTTGCCAAGCAACGTGTCGAGGCTAATGGAAAATCTAATGTTAATTTTTGCCGTGACACTGTAGATAACTATAGAAAGAATGATATAACTACGGCGGTCATACAGGGTATACCGGTCGATATCCTCATAGACAGTGGGTCCACGATCTCGCTTATGTCAGACTCTGTATCGAAGTATTTTAAATGCAAGCAAGTACCCTCTTTTTGTGTTTTACGCGGTATTAGTGATCGTGATATTGAATCCCGTTATTTTAGTACTTTAACAGTAGAGTTTCCGGAAATCACATTAGAAATTGATTTTCAAATAGTACATGACAAATTTTTGAATACCCCGATAATAATTGGAACCGATGTTTTGAACCGAGAAGGGGTTTACGTATATAAGGAAGAAGGGTATTCAACGATTAACTCGTATGGAAAGGGTATTTATTGCTGAGACGACTGAGTCAAATTTGATCTCCGTTATTAATACTCCTTTGATAGGTGAAAACAAGGACAAGTTGTTGAATTTGGTTGAACAATATTCAAAATATTTCATTACTGGTACCGCGATCAGTACTGTTACTACCGGATTTATGCAAATTCGTCTCAGCATGAAACTCCTATTGTATATAGGCCTTATAAACTATCGCATAGTGAAAAACTCCGCGTTCGGGATATAATTAAGGACCTTCTTGATAAAGGGGTCATAAGGGAGTCAGAATCAGAATTCTCGAGTCCAATATTACTAGTCAAGAAGAAAGACGGTAGCGACAGAATGTGCGTGGACTTCCGGGCACTTAATTCAAATACTGTGAAGGATCGCTACCCATTGCCATTGATAGATGATCACGTGGATCGATTAGGTAATGCCAAATATTTCACGAGTCTTGATATGGCTACTGGCTTTCACCAGATACCGATGGCTAGCGACTCCATTCACAAAACTGGTTTTGTAACACCTGAGGGGCATTTTGAATATCTCAAGATGCCCTATGGGTTGGCGAATGCCCCGGTTGTTTACCAACGCATTATCACAAATACCCTAAAGACATTCATTGAAACAGGAAGGGCCTTAGTGTATATTGACGATGTGCTTTTGCCTAGCCAGACTATTGATGAAGGACTCCTCATTTTGCGTGAAGTTTTAGAAGTTTTAACTAAAGCCGGATTTTCAATAAATTTAAAGAAATGTAAATTCCTTACTAACGAAATAGAATATCTGGGGAGAACAATCAGCAATGGTCAGGTTAGGCCAAGCGCTCATAAAGTAGAAGCCTTGAAAAGGGCACCGATGCCCAGTAATGTAAAACAAGCACGTCAATTTCTAGGCTTGGCGGGTTATTTTAGACGTTATATTCCTGAGTATTCATTAAAGACAATGTGCATATCCAATTTATTTCGAAAGGGTGTTGAGTTTCGATGGGGTGACGAACAAGAGCAAGTTCGCCAGTACATTATTACACGTTTGACTGGCGAACCAGTTCTTGACATTTTTAACCCCTTATTACCTACGGAAGTGCACACTGACGCTTCGTCACTAGGCTATGGGGCTGTCTTAATCCAGAACTCATGAGAGTGGTAGTAAGCGGGTGATTGGGTACTTTAGTAAAGTTACTCAGGGTGCTGAACCGCGTTACCACTCTTATGAGCTTGAAACGCTGGCAGTGGTCAAGGCGTTGGCAATATTTCAGACATTACCTCATAGGTATACATTTCAAAGTAGTTACGGACTGCAACGCCTTGAAGCTCACACAGCGAAGAAAGATTTATTACCGAGGGTTGCTCGGTGGTGGATCTATTTGCAAGACTATGATTTTGTATTAGAGTATCGCAAAGGCGCTGCGTTACCTCATGCCGATTATTTAAGTCGTAATCCGATAAATATTTGTGAGATTAGAAGACCTTGTAATTGGGCACAGGTAGCGCAAAATGCGGACGAGGAAACCAAAAACTTAATACAAAAATTGGAGGACGGTGTACTAGATGGGACACGTTATGTATTAAAAAATAATATTCTGTATTATAAGTTTGATTCTGCTGGTCAGCCTACTAAACTTCTCTGTTTTATCCCTAAAGGTCACCGCCTTAGTCTATTGCGTGTGTTTCACGATGAGCATCATCATATTGGTGCAGATAAAACAATTGATTTAATTCAAAATCATTTTTGGTTCCCTAATTTAAGACAATTTGTCCGCAAATATATACGTCATTGCATAGTATGTCTTTCACATAAAAAGGTACCACGTCAACCTTTGCAGCCGATCCAGTCGTGGAGAAAACCTGACGTACCTTTCGATACGGTACATAGTGATGTGTTAGGTCCTCTCCCCGAGTCGAACGGCTACAAATTCGTTGTATTAATAGTTGATGCATATAGTAAGTTCTGTTTGTTGTATCCAATATATAAACAAGACGCTAATGAACTGAAGCGTGTCTTTGAGAATGCTATATCCTTATTTAGCACACCTAGGCAGATTGTAGTCGATAGAGGTAGAATGTACGAAAGTAGATTATTTAAACAATGGGTGTCAGACGTGGGCAGTAGTTTATTCTTTATAACACCTGAGATGCATCAGAGTAATGCTCAGGCTGAGCGATATTGCAGGACAATTCTGAATATGATTCGTGTGGAGGTTAATTTTAGAAATGAAAGTTGGTCAGAAGTCTTATGGAAACTGCAGCTCACTCTGAACATTACGAAACAAAAGTCCACTCAATATTCACCCTTATTTTTGTTAATTGGCAGCGATGGTGTGACGCCCGTTATCCGTTCAGTTGTGCGTGATGTGGCCCTTGAGGGAACAAGTGGCAATCGCGAGGCCTTACGTGAGCTGGCCAGACAAAGAGCATCTCAATTGCTGGATCAAAACAGAAAACAGCAAGACACTCGAGTAAATGAACGGCGCAAGCCCCCACATGTTTTTTCATGAAAATGACATGGTCTTCGTACATAAGAACAGTCAATCTGTGGGCAAACTTGACTCTGGCATGCGCGGTCCGTACAAAGTTGTGCGCGCATTGCCTCATGGTCGATACGAGCTGAAGCTTATTTCTGGCTCACTCGGGAAGACCACAGAAGCTGCTGCTGAGCATATAAGTGCTTGGCACGGAGAATGGACACCAGATGTGTGCGCCGTATTCTTCGAGTGTGAGTATATTTGTAACTGTAATAGGGACTATTTGCATTGTATCACTTAAGCGATATAATAAAAATAGTACTTTATTACATGTTGGTCATCCTGTGGGCTCTGACACATAACATGTTATGTATAATTGTTTTATTTTGAGATATACCGCGGTCACTGTCTCGGTCATCCTGAGGGCTCTGACACATGTTAAAATTCATGTATTTAAGAACATGCTGCGGCCTCTGTTGTTGAATTACAATTTTTCAGTATTTTATTGCTGGTATGGTTTATTTTGTTGGCATAATTCCATCGTAAACATTATATTTCCAGGTGATGAGAATGAGAGCTGCTCTGACGATAGCATCATCGCTGGCCCGTCGCACCTACGTGACGTCACCATAGCTGAAAGAGCGGGCGAGGGCGCTCCGCCGTCAGGAGAGGCCGTGTTAGCGGAGAATGCTCAAGAATAGGGGCGTGGCTTGAGTGACGTAATTTGTGGCGTGATGGTGGCGTGGTGGCTCGCTTGACAACGCACGAGTCGCCGACACTGGAGCGGCTAACTTACTTTTGTCGTGGCTGCCGGAACGGACGGACGTTCACATCATCGCTTCTCTTATTTATTTTAGTATTGTTAATATTGTTAATTATTCGTTAAAAAATAATAAAAAGTAATATCTTTAATTTCATCGTGTATAATTTTTTTTATAATAAAGTTAGTGCATAGATAAAAATATTGTTTTTTTTTTTTGGTTTGGGTTAGGTTTGGCGAAAAATATTCCAATGAGTTATTAGATATTATTACTTCATGTATATCAATTTACACAACGACGATCGATCATATATATATTGTTTTTTTTTTGGTTTGGGTTAGGTTTGGCGAAAAATATTCCAATGAGTTATTAGATATTATTACTTCATGTATATCAATTTACACAACGACGATCGATTATATATATATTGTTTTTTTTTTTGGTTTGGGTTAGGTTTGGCGAAAAATATTCCAATGAGTTATTAGATATTATTACTTCATGTATGTCAATTTACACAACGACGATCGATTATATATATATTGTTTTTTTTTTTGGGTTAGGTTTGGCGAAAAATATTCCAATGAGTTATTAGATATTATTACTTCATGTATATCAATTTACACAACGACGATCGATTATATATATTGTTTTTTTTTTTTTGGTTTAGGTTAGGTTTGGCGAAAAATATTCCAATGAGTTATTAGATATTATTACTTCATGTATATCAATTTACACAACGACGATCGATTATATATATATTGTTTTTTTTTTTGTTTGGGTTAGGTTTGGCGAAAAATATTCCAATGAGTTATTAGATATTATTACTTCATGTATATCAATTTACACAACGACGATCGATTATATATATATATATATATTGTTTTTTTTTTGGTTTGGGTTAGGTTTGGCGAAAAATATTCCAATGAGTTATTAGATATTATTACTTCATGTATATCAATTTACACAACGACGATCGATTATATATATATTGTTTTTTTTTTTTGGTTTAGGTTAGGTTTGGCGAAAAATATTCCAATGAGTTATTAGATATTATTACTTCATGTATATCAATTTACACAACGACGATCGATTATATATATTGTTTTTTTTTGGTTTGGGTTAGGTTTGGCGAAAAATATTCCAATGAGTTATTAGATATTATTACTTCATGTATATCAATTTACACAACGACGATCGATTATGTATATATTGTTTTTTTTTTGTTTGGGTTAGGTTTGGCGAAAAATATTCCAATGAGTTATTAGATATTATTACTTCATGTATATCAATTTACACAACGACGATCGATTATATATATATATTGTTTTTTTTTTTGGTTTGGGTTAGGTTTGGCGAAAAATATTCCAATGAGTTATTAGATATTATTACTTCATGTATATCAATTTTACACAACGACGATCGATTATATATATATTGTTTTTTTTGGTTTGGGTTAGGTTTGGCAAAAAATATTCCAATGAGTTATTAGATATTATTACTTCATGTATATCAATTTACACAACGACGATCGATTATATATATATTGTTTTTTTTTTTGGTTTGGGTTAGGTTTGGCGAAAAATATTCCAATGAGTTATTAGATATTATTACTTCATGTATATCAATTTACACAACGACGATCGATTATATATATATATATTGTTTTTTTTTTTTGGTTTGGGTTAGGTTTGGCGAAAAATATTCCAATGAGTTATTAGATATTATTACTTCATGTATATCAATTTACACAACGACGATCGATTATATATATTGTTTTTTTTTTGGTTTGGGTTAGGTTTGGCGAGAAATATTCCAATGAGTTATTAGATATTATTACTTCATGTATATCAATTTACACAACGACGATCGATTATATATATATTGTTTTTTTTTTTTGGTTTAGGTTAGGTTTGGCGAAAAATATTCCAATGAGTTATTAGATATTATTACTTCATGTATATCAATTTACACAACGACGATCGATTATATATATATTGTTTTTTTTTTGGTTTGGGTTAGGTTTGGCGAAAAATATTCCAATGAGTTATTAGATATTATTACTTCATGTATATCAATTTACACAACGACGATCGATTATATATATATTGTTTTTTTTTTGGTTTGGGTTAGATTTGGTGAAAAATATTCCAATGAGATATTAGATATTATTACTACATATATCTTATATATTTAAACGAGCTATTCTTGTATATATATATATATATATATATCAATATATAATCTGAATCTTGGAAACGGCTCCAACGATTTTCATGAAATTTAGCACGCAAGGGGTTTCGGGGGCGATAAATCGATCTAGATTAGTCTTATATCTGGAAAAACGCGAATTTTCGAATTTTCACGCGATTTTCTTTTGCATTTTCACAATTTTTGCATTGTCACTTCTGGTGGGCGGCACCACTGTGCAACTGTCAACATCGTGTCCGTATTTACATCAAGTTTAAATATATTTAAGTGAAAATAATCTAAAGAATAAATATAAATTTAAATAATAAAAATAAATTTTTAAATAAAACCTATGGGCAATAAGTAAACATCACCAAGTCTTGATGTGTTGAAGAACAAATGAGCTTTTAAAAATTCACCTACCAAACAAATATAAAAGTGACAAACATAACTTAAAGATATTAGTGCAAAACCATCTTTTCTGTGTGTGATGACAATAAAACAAAATCATTTCTGAAGTGAAAGCGTCAAATATTAAAACATAAGTTTATAACCTCAAAAACTAATACTTGGTATAAAATTGCAATTCAACTTGGTATAATTGGTGCTTTTTTCAATCAGCTTTTCTACTTCCAACTTCACACATAAGATGGAGGACATAAAAAAAGTTGCTAATAAACATGCAACAAGAAATAAGACAGCAGAAAACAGAAATGTTAGAAATGAAAGAAGACATTAAAAATACAATCAACAATAATATACTTAAATGAAAAATTTAAACAGTTAGAAATAAAAATTGAAGTTCTTGAGAAAAAAATCCAGGAACAAAGTACCTCAATAAATAATTTAGAAAGACATATTAGGCGCAAGAACTTTCATGAACTCCTATCATGAACTAGAGGAAAAAATAGTCTTAAACTAAACGGAAATAAAAAAGAAGTCTGCCTGTATCTCCAGACACGCCTTACCTCAATTATAAACAAAAACTAACAAATAAACAACATACAAAGAAAACCATACCTGGTAATATTAAATACTTTATATTACAAAATCCAAAATTATCTTTCAACCACACAAATGATAACCAGGAACAACTAAAAACAACACTGCAAGATACAGTTTATTAAACACAGTAGGAACCTCCTCATCTTTATCACCCAGTACGGCCGGTCATTGTGGGGAGTTCGACCATAACCCTCCAAAGAAAAACAGACATACAATGACAAAGGTATACATATCTTCACCAGAAAAACTTCTAGAATTAAAAGCAGTATTTCCTACAACAAATCAAAAGAACACAAAGGTAAAATTATAAACTTGATAGGCATATCAGAAACAAATTATATATTGGAAACAAAATTTGAAAAGAAACCCTTTGCAATCATACAAGCATAATCTCCAACGGAGAGCTCTATGCAGGACTACTTTGGAGGAGGCTTTTAACCGAGAGGGGTCTATACATGAAAAAGACATTTACTAAATAAATACATTTAATTATGAAATTAAATACCTAATTTATAACTATTGTCAGAATTAATGTATGGAAAGAAATTTTATTTATATTTATTATTGTGAAATGTTTAGTATTTACTCAATTGAATTATTTAATTTATTGTGATTGTTTATTTATTTATTTGTTAATGATAATTTATATATATACAATATCATTTCAAATAATATGAAGATTTTTAAAATAATTTAATTCCAGATTACAAAATTATTAGTTAAAAAATTATAAGTTAATAAATAGTCACTAAATTATATAATTTTATATTTTAGCAATGTGATATAGACATTTTTTTATTGTACAACTAAAATGGCTCCTTATATACTCTTAACCAAATAAAATTTTAATGGAATACTTTTATAAAAAGCTGTGCATACTTAAATTTATATACAAATAGGTAAAATTATAATGTTTAATAAATGTTTTTATGTAAATTTAGTTAGTAAGCTTTTATAATAAATAAATGAATAAATAAATAGAGCTTTATTATTATTATGATTTCTTTTGCATTATTTCAATAAATTAATAATTAATAATTCCACGCAAAATATTATGTTCGATAATTTCGCACTCTCAGATATAAGCATCATGGTCAAGCGGTCAATGCGCAAGTTTGACAACCACAGGTATCTGGGTTCGTATCCCGGTCGGACACAAAGTTTTAATTTTGTTTTTTTTTGTATTTATTCAAATTATTTGTTTGTTTTTTTTTAATGTTTTTTTTTGGCCAAAAACTCCGAGCAAAGCTCGGTCGCCCAGGTACTATCAATTTACACAACGACGATCGATTATATATATATATATTGTTTTTTTTTTGGTTTGGGTTAGGTTTGGCGAAAAATATTCCAATGAGTTATTAGATATTATTACTTCATGTATATCAATTTACACAACGACGATCGATTATATATATATTGTTTTTTTTTTTGGTTTGGGTTAGGTTTGGCGAAAAATATTCCAATGAGTTATTAGATATTATTACTTCATGTATATCAATTTACACAACGACGATCGATTATATATTATATTGTTTTTTTTTTTTTGGTTTGGGTTAGGTTTGGTGAAAAATATTCCAATGAGTTATTAGATATTATTACTTCATGTATATCAATTTACACAACGACGATCGATTATACATATATTGTTTTTTTTTTTGGTTTGGGTTAGGTTTGGCGAAAAATATTCCAATGAGTTATTAGATATTATTACTTCATGTATATCAATTTACACAACGACGATCGATTATATATATATTGTTTTTTTTTTTTTGGTTTGGGTTAGGTTTGGCGAAAAATATTCCAATGAGTTATTAGATATTATTACTTCATGTATATCAATTGACACAACGACGATCGATTATATATATATTGTTTTTTTTTTTTGGTTTGGGTTAGGTTTGGCGAAAAATATTCCAATGAGTTATTAGATATTATTACTTCATGTATATCAATTGACACAACGACGATCGATTATATATATATTGTTTTTTTTTTGGTTTGGGTTAGGTTTGGCGAAAAATATTCCAATGAGTTATTAGATATTATTACTTCATGTATATCAATTTACACAACGACGATCGATTATATATATATTGTTTTTTTTTTGGTTTGGGTTAGGTTTGGCGAAAAATATTCCAATGAGTTATTAGATATTATTACTTCATGTATATCAGTTTACACAACGACGATCGATTATATATATATTGTTTTTTTTTTTTTGGTTTGGGATAGGTTTGGCGAAAAATATTCCAATGAGTTATTAGATATTATTACTTTCATGTATATCATTTACACAACGACGATCGATTATATATATATTGTTTTTTTTTTGGTTTGGGTTAGGTTTGGCGAAAAATATTCCAATGAGATATTAGATATTATTACTACATATATATCAATTTACACAACGACAATCGATTATATATATATATTGTTTTTTTTTTGGTTTGGGTTAGGTTTGGCGAAAAATATTCCAATGAGTTATTAGATATTATTACTTCATGTATATCAATTTACACAACGACGATCGATTATATATATATATTGTTTTTTTTTTTGGTTTAGGTTAGGTTTGGCGAAAAATATTCCAATGAGTTATTAGATATTATTACTTCATGTATATCAATTTACACAACGACGATCGATTATATATTATATTGTTTTTTTTTTGGTTTGGGTTAGGTTTGGTGAAAAATATTCCAATGAGTTATTAGATATTATTACTTCATGTATATCAATTTACACAACGACGATCGATTATATATATATTGTTTTTTTTTTTGGTTTGGGTTAGGTTTGGCGAAAAATATTCCAATGAGTTATTAGATATTATTACTTCATGTATATCAATTTACACAACGACGATCGATTATATATATATTGTTTTTTTTTTTTGGTTTGGGTTAGGTTTGGCGAAAAATATTCCAATGAGTTATTAGATATTATTACTTCATGTATATCAATTGACACAACGACGATCGATTATATATATATTGTTTTTTTTTTGGTTTGGGTTAGGTTTGGCGAAAAATATTCCAATGAGTTATTAGATATTATTACTTCATATATATCAATTTACACAACGACTATCGATTATATATATATTGTTTTTTTTTGGTTTGGGTTAGGTTTGGCGAAAAATATTCCAATGAGTTATTAGATATTATTACTTCATGTATATCAATTTACACAACGACGATCGATTATATATGTTAAGACACGTCTGACACTTTATTGCGTGGCAACTTTACCATCGCCCACATCGTGTGGTCCGTGCCTAATTAGACGGTCATCGATGTGAAGTGATTTGGATAATCTGTGAGTTCAATAGACAATATAGTGAAGTGACAGAACGTTAGCTATATAAGGCAGTGATTTTATATTAAAACCCCTTATTCTTATTCTTACTCCTATTCTTATATGTACTCTTATAACCATTGTCGTCATACTCAGTATTAGTAGGTAGTATCATTATCAAATACAGTAATTCAAAGGACGACATCTTTCATTTTACAATCTCTTCAAAAATACAAAAGTTCGTTGCAAACAAAAATGAGACGAACATATGGCGCCCGAACAAAAGACGTCCAAGAAGACTTCCAAGCAATAAGCAATCCAGCACCAGAACACGTGGCCGTCATCTTATGCCGAGCAGTGACGCAGCGAAAGCCGCACCTCGCAGCATGAAAAGATAAGTGCCCTATATCTATCCAATCCTAATTAATCCCAACCTTTTTCCAAATTATTTTTCCCTATTTTTTAATAACCATGTTTCCCAATCCTATATCCTAATCAATCCTAATCCCTTTAATCCATATTCATTTCTTCCTATTTCCATTTGTATTTCAAATTTAGCATTCCGCTTTTGCAAAATTTATAATTATTTTGGTTTAATTTTTATTGTCCTACTACATTAAACAAACGTGTACATATATTCAATTTTCTTGTTAGAATTTCTTCATTTAATACAAATATATAATAAATTTTTCAACTTAACCTCTAAATGTCCTTTATTAATACATTAAAAGTAACATTTCAAAACAACCTATATTATTCTAAATTTAACTTTCCTTATATTATATTATATATATTAAACAAACTTAATATTTTATTATAGTAGATTTAGAGTCAACAGCATCAATTTTTGACATTAAAATACATTTAGTTGAAAACATAATTCAATTCTAAAGGCAATAATAAGCCTCAATCAAAAATATATTTGTGCGATACTTAGACGATTTGGCCGACTATTTCAGCGTTGCGGTACATGAGGCGCGCCACGTGGTCGGAGCTTCGCCATCTTGTCTTGCCGCGCCGCGCCGGTCTGCTATGTGTCGTTGATTGAGGAGCGGCAGATAAGACATTTACATTATTTTATTTTATTTTCCTTTTGAGGTGTCTTGTAATTAAGTAACTTAAATTCAATTGTAGTTTACATAATTCATATTCATATACATATACAAATAACTTTAGTATTGTTCTAGTTCATACAGTTTTCTATTTTATTATTTTACTTACTATTATTGCATTACTATAATTACATAAAGTATTTTTTATCCATATTTTTCACAATGTCCGAACCTTCAGTATCAACTATGTACAAAGAGTCCGGGATAAAGGTTTTAATAGTAAAGCGAAGTTCCATAAAGGGACAAATTACTAAATTCAAAAATTATTTAGACAAGATTACAAGGCAATCTCAATTGACGGGTATCGAAGTGGCTGAGCTTTCACTGAAGGTCAGTCGCTTTGAGAGTCTGTCCGCTAAATATGATGAGCTGCAAACTCAAATTGAATTAATAAATGCTGATACTTTAGACGAAGAGCTCGATGAACGTGAACGCATTGAGCAAGATATCATATTATGTACCGCGATGGCAAAAAATATTATTGAAGAACAAAATGAATTAAAGAATTTAGAACAGGATAAGAGACGCCGTGAGTCCTTATTCCAAGATGCTCATTGTGGTCGCGATCATAATAATGAAAATTCTATAACCTTGCCGCAAATACAAATTGCAAAGTTTGATGGTTCATTCTTCCGTTGGTTAGAGTTTCGAGATACTTTCAATAATTTAATTCACAACAATAGCCGCATTTCATTAATTCAAAAGTTTCATTATTTAGTTTCTTATTTGGAAGGCGATGCAGCTCGGGTAATTTCAAATATTGAAGTTTCCGCAGCCAACTATAACAGCGCTTATCAATTACTTTATGAACGTTACAATAATAAAATGTTACTTGTAAATTATCACATTAAATCATTATTCAATATTGAGAAAATAAACCGCGAATCGGATACTTCATTACGCTCTTTAGTCGATCATGTTTCAAAAAATTTACGTGCTTTAGCTAACCTAGGTCAACCTACTGATCACTGGGACACGTTAATTATATATTTGGTTTCATCTAAACTCGATACGCAAACACTTGTTAAATGGGAAGAGCAACGCAATAGTTTAGGTGAAATTCCTAGTTTAACCGAATTTAATAAATTTTTAATTGATCGGGCTTATGTTCTTGAATGTACACGTCACAATAAGAATGATCAAGGTTCTAGTTTTCATAATAACAATAATAGAATTCAAAATTCAAAGCCTGTCAGTTATCATCATTATAATCAGCGTGATCGACCTATTTCAAAGTCATTTATTACTACAAATCCAAACGACAATAGCAGTTCGCGTAGGTGCATTGTCTGCAATCAAAATCATAGGATTTATGATTGCCAATTATTCAAATCCAAGTCCAGAAAGGACAAATTAAACGATATTTCAAAGCACAAATTATGTATTAATTGTCTAAGGCAGGGTCACTCTTTAGTCGAATGTCGATTAGGGCCATGCAAGATATGTAAGAAACAACACAATACTTTATTGCATCCAGCTGATACACCAAAGGTCAACAATGCCTCTGGTGATGTCTCTGAGACTTCAGCAAATTATTCAAACAAAAATTCAAATCAAGTTATTTTGTCTACTGCCCAAGTATACATTTTGAATCCAACGACTAATGAGCCTCTTAAAGTACGGGCCTTGTTGGACTCAGGCAGTCAGTCATCTTTCATTACAAAATCTCTTCAACAAAAACTTGCAATCAATTCAAATCCAATTTCTGTTAACGTCATTGGTATCGGTCACTCAGACAACCAAATCAAGGAAAGCTGTGTGATCCAATTAAAATCCATTTACAATAATTTTAAGACAAAGTTAAATTGTCTTGTGCTTCATAGGCTGACTGGGAATCTGCCTAAGGCACCTATAAATATACAACAATTAAACATACCATCGCACTTGCATTTAGCTGACCCCGATTTCAATCAGCCAGCTCCTATTGATATACTAATAGGAGCCGATCTCTTCTGGCAACTCATGAAAAACGACCGTATTTCTTTAGGTGCAAACAATCCTATACTACAATATTCCAGTTTTGGTTGGTTAATTGGTGGTCCTATTTCTTATCAAGCTAAACAAGTACTTTGCAATAATTCAGTCATTAATGACAACTTCCCAAACGAAAACAAAATCGACAATTTACTAGCAAAATTTTGGGAGCTAGAAGAGCTTCCCCAGAAAACAATTCTAAGCGAAACAGAATTAACCTGTGAGAACCACTTCCGGTCTCACACTTTACGGCTTCCTTCCGGCAGGTTTAGTGTCAAGCTTCCATTACGCGATTCTCCTGATTGTTTAGGTGAAACATATAATTTGGCAAAAAGGCGACTATTAAATTTAGAAAAACGTTTCAGAAAAAATACCTCATTAAAGTCTCAATATATTCAATTCATTAGAGAATACCAAAGCTTAGGCCATCTGTCGGAATCTACGGTTGCTTTACCAGATCCTTCTTATTTTCTGTGTCATCATACTGTCTTTAAGGCATCCAGCGAATCAACTAAACTTAGGGTCGTATTTGATGGTTCCGCGTCCTCTTCTTCTGGCTTTTCAATCAATGATTTGCTAATGGTTGGACCTAACATCCAGGATTCTCTTTTCTCCATATTAATCCGAGCTAGAACATATAAATATTTGTTAACCGGGGATATAGAAAAAATGTATCGCCAAATAGAGGTCAGTCCAGATGACAGAAATTTACAGCTGATTTTGTGGAGAGAAGATGAATCTTTACCCATTAAAACAATGCAGTTGAACACTGTCACTTACGGAACAGCAAGTGCCAGCTATTTAAGTACACGGTGTCTATGGCAGATAGGAGAGGAATGCGACAATAGTTTTATTAAAAATATTATACAAAAGGATTTTTATGTCGATGACCTCATAACAGGTTCAAATGATAGCGAGGAACTAAATTATATTCAAAATTCAGTTGCACAAGAATTAGACAAAGGCTGTTTTAAATTGCGTAAATACAAAAATAATCTAAGTTCTATTTTTGATAATTGTAATTTAAATTTGCAAGAAAATTTTATGTTAAGTGAGGCTTCGAGTACTCTCCCGGGGGAGAAGCCAACTCCTACCGGGCGCGTCCCCAGGTGGCGGATAGGGGAATGCCACCCGCTTAGGGCGGCGGGTGGTACCGGAGAAATCCGGCGCGGACCAAATGGCTTGGATGGGGCCGCTCGTCTAGGCCTCGAGCCGAAGACGTTGCGGCCACCGGTGGTGGGACCGCTTGGTCCCACAACCGGATGATGGGTGCCGGTTGCGGGACTGTGATTGCAGGCCCGCATCCGGCGGAGGGGTAGGCCGCGGCGGGAGAGGAGTGCCGGTATTTCGGTGCGCCGTTCTCCCTACCTTCCGCGGCCTAGACGGGGCCGCCACCGTTTGATGGCGGACGCGGTGGGGCTGCAGGGGAAGAGGAGTGTCGGTGTTTCGTTGCCGCTCTCCCTGTCCTCTGCAGCCGATTGGAGGTGGCCCACTTCGGTGGGCGGAGATTCTGTTTAATGGGGCTGCTCCGGGTACCTCTCTGGTGTAGCAGAGTTGACTGTGGAGCAGCTCCATCGGTATGGTGGTCAGCCGTTGGCAGACCTGCCGCCGGGGCGCCGTAGTAGTTATGCGCAAGCGATCCTGCGGCGTCCCATTAAGGCGGAGGGGAGGGGAATGTCGGGTTTTAGTGGGTAGTACCGGCTCTTCTAGCCGGTGAGTCCCACATCACCACCTGGGGGATCAGGTGGTATGCGTAAATGCATTTCTCGAGTACTCTAGGCTTAGGTTGGAATCCAAATAATGACATGTTAAATTTTCCAGTTAATATTCCTCCTTTGAGAAATACTATTACAAAAAGAAGCATCATGTCTGATGCATTCAAGATTTTTGACCCACTCGGTTTGTTAAGCCCATACATCATGCAGCCAAAACTTATGTTACAAAAATTATGGAAGTGGTGGTGGAGTATCGCAAAGGCGCTGCGTTACCTCATGCCGATTATTTAAGTCGTAATCCGATAAATATTTGTGAGATTAGAAGACCTTGTAATTGGGCACAGGTAGCGCAAAATGCGGACGAGGAAACCAAAAACTTAATACAAAAATTGGAGGACGGTGTACTAGATGGGACACGTTATGTATTAAAAAATAATATTCTGTATTATAAGTTTGATTCTGCTGGTCAGCCTACTAAACTTCTCTGTTTTATCCCTAAAGGTCACCGCCTTAGTCTATTGCGTGTGTTTCACGATGAGCATCATCATATTGGTGCAGATAAAACAATTGATTTAATTCTAAATCATTTTTGGTTCCCTAATTTAAGACAATTTGTCCGCAAATATATACGTCATTGCATAGTATGTCTTTCACATAAAAAGGTACCACGTCAACCTTTGCAGCCGATCCAGTCGTGGAGAAAACCTGACGTACCTTTCGATACGGTACATAGTGATGTGTTAGGTCCTCTCCCCGAGTCGAACGGCTACAAATTCGTTGTATTAATAGTTGATGCATATAGTAAGTTCTGTTTGTTGTATCCAATATATAAACAAGACGCTAATGAACTGAAGCGTGTCTTTGAGAATGCTATATCCTTATTTAGCACACCTAGGCAGATTGTAGTCGATAGAGGTAGAATGTACGAAAGTAGATTATTTAAACAATGGGTGTCAGACGTGGGCAGTAGTTTATTCTTTATAACACCTGAGATGCATCAGAGTAATGGTCAGGCTGAGCGATATTGCAGGACAATTCTGAATATGATTCGTGTGGAGGTTAATTTTAGAAATGAAAGTTGGTCAGAAGTCTTATGGAAACTGCAGCTCACTCTGAACATTACGAAACAAAAGTCCACTCAATATTCACCCTTATTTTTGTTAATTGGCAGCGATGGTGTGACGCCCGTTATCCGTTCAGTTGTGCGTGATGTGGCCCTTGAGGGAACAAGTGGCAATCGCGAGGCCTTACGTGAGCTGGCCAGACAAAGAGCATCTCAATTGCTGGATCAAAACAGAAAACAGCAAGACACTCGAGTAAATGAACGGCGCAAGCCCCCACATGTTTTTCATGAAAATGACATGGTCTTCGTACATAAGAACAGTCAATCTGTGGGCAAACTTGACTCTGGCATGCGCGGTCCGTACAAAGTTGTGCGCGCATTGCCTCATGGTCGATACGAGTTGAAGCTTATTTCTGGCTCACTCGGGAAGACCACAGAAGCTGCTGCTGAGCATATAAGTGCTTGGCACGGAGAATGGACACCAGATGTGTGCGCCGTATTCTTCGAGTGTGAGTATATTTGTAACTGTAATAGGGACTATTTGCATTGTATCACTTAAGCGATATAATAAAAATAGTACTTTATTACATGTTGGTCATCCTGTGGGCTCTGACACATAACATGTTATGTATAATTGTTTTATTTTGAGATATACCGCGGTCACTGTCTCGGTCATCCTGAGGGCTCTGACACATGTTAAAATTCATGTATTTAAGAACATGCTGCGGCCTCTGTTGTTGAATTACAATTTTTCAGTATTTTATTGCTGGTATGGTTTATTTTGTTGGCATAATTCCATCGTAAACATTATATTTCCAGGTGATGAGAATGAGAGCTGCTCTGACGATAGCATCATCGCTGGCCCGTCGCACCTACGTGACGTCACCATAGCTGAAAGAGCGGGCGAGGGCGCTCCGCCGTCAGGAGAGGCCGTGTTAGCGGAGAATGCTCAAGAATAGGGGCGTGGCTTGAGTGACGTAATTTGTGGCGTGATGGTGGCGTGGTGGCTCGCTTGACAACGCACGAGTCGCCGACACTGGAGCGGCTAACTTACTTTTGTCGTGGCTGCCGGAACGGACGGACGTTCACATCATCGCTTCTCTTATTTATTTTAGTATTGTTAATATTGTTAATTATTCGTTAAAAAATAATAAAAAGTAATATCTTTAATTTCATCGTGTATAATTTTTTTTATAATAAAGTTAGTGCATAGATAAAAATATATATATTGTTTTTTTTTTTTTTTGGTTTGTATTCCAATGAGTTATTAGATATTATTACTTCATGTATATCAATTTACACAACGACGATCGATTATATATATATTGTTTTTTTTTTGGTTTGGGTTAGGTTTGGCAAAAAATATTCCAATGAGTTATTAGATATTATTACTTCATGTATAGTATCGGCGTTGTCGCATCCTCTACTCCTGCAGCCGTTTGGGGTGGTTCGGTTTCGGACGCCGTGGAGGTTTGCCCAATTTGGGCAGGAAGGTTTAGGCTTAGGCCGCTTGTTTTTGCAGGTTGCCCACTCGGTGGGCGGTGTTTGGTTGTGTGGGGCTGCTCCGGGTACTTCTCTGTTCAGCAGAGTGGACTTGGGAGCAGTCTCACTTGTCAGGGTTGCAAGTCTTCCCATAATGGGGTCGTCCCGCTTGGGGCGGTCTCATGGTTGGTGGCTTCGGCCAACCGTCGGGGCGTCACGGTTGTATGCGAAAGCGGTCCCGTGGCGTCCCACATGGCGGCTGTGGGGAAAGTTGGGTTTTAGTCGGTATGCCGGTCTCATTAGCCGGAGAGTCTCCACATAACCACCCTGGGGGGGAAGTCGGGTGGTATCCGTAATAGGATTTCCCAACTATAAAAAAAAAAAAATAATAAAAAAAAAAAGGTTATCGACCTAAGATCTTGCGATTACGGGTTTGTTGTTGAGTGTTTTGGATATTTATCGATTGGATTTGACTACCGGACTTTGATTCTTGCAATACATGTTTTGACTTTTGGCTTTTCTTACAGATTTTGGATTTTACTTGTGATTTGGCTTTTGTTGACATTGTGTGCGTTTTTCTTTGTGTTTGGGTGTGTTGGTGTGTCTGAGGCATGGACTCAGACACGTCCGAGGGTGCGGACACCGACTCGTCCGTGGGGCGAAAGCGGGCCCACCCTTTACCGCCTTTGGTAAGTTCCTCCGGGTCCGAAACGGAAACGGAGATGACCGTTGGCGCCAGGGTGGTCAAGGCGCGGAAGGGAGCGTCCCAGAAGGGCGCTGGAGGTCCAGGGAGTTCGGGCGTTGCTCGCGCGCGCCGCGAGCTAAAGGAGCTGGAAGAGGAGGACCGCGAACTTGAGTTCGAGAGACGATTGAGTCAGCGGACCTACCGAAAGGCTGGCACGGCAGTGCCAACTGACTCTGAGGCGTCGGCGTCTGAGGCCCCGGCTCAGAGAAACCCGGCCGAGCAGACGGCCGATGAGTTAAAGGTGCTCGCCAGCAAGAGCGTGGCGGCGGTGATGGAGGTGGCCCAGAAGTCGTCCAATTTAAAGGGGACAATGGTCAAAGTTTTGAAGGAGTCCGCCGCCACGCTTCAAAAGGTGGTGGACGCATTGGCAGGGCGCACGGTGGGGGAGGAGGTCCAGAACCTCCAAAAGGATAATTGCTCGCCTTCGTCGGGAGACAGAGGCGTTAAAGGCAGAGTTGAAGGCCCACCGTCGGGAGTTTTGTGAGATCCGGAAGGAGCTCTCGGCGTCCAAGGCTGGTCCCTCAGATTCCTTCGCGGGGGACTGGCTGGAGGAAATTAGGGCCTCCATCGTCGCCTCAGTGGGGACGCTAATTGATGCCCGGTTCGCCGGGATAGAAGAGCGGCTCCTCCCGGAAAAGAATATGCGTCCCCCACTTGCGGCGGACAGGCGCCGCGTGGCGGCTGCGCCAGTGGCTCCCCCGAGCCCTGCCCCGAGATCTTCCCCTCCGAGGCAAGTGCCAGCGCCGGCTGCAGCCATGGATGTTGGGGGCTCTGCAGCCCAGGGGGGTAAAGGGAAAGGGAAGGGCAAGGAAAAAGGCAAGGCCACGGCGCCTGCGCGGCCGCTTCCGCCTGCCCCTGTGATTACTGCTCCAGCTCCTCCTCCGCCGGTAGCCGGGCCGAGTCGCCCCGCTAACCCGGAAGGGGATACCTGGGCCACCGTCGTGAGGAAGAGCAAGGGGAAGCCGAAGAAGGCAGCTCCTCCTGCTTCTGCGCCTGTGGCGGCGAAGGCTCCGAGGCCCCCCCAGGCTAAGCCCAAAGTCCCCGCACAACCGCGCACTGCCGCGGTCATCATAACGGTCCCGCAGGAGGATGGTCTCCTTCAGCGAGGCCGTCATCTCACTGAAGGAGACGGCGGAGAGGGAACGCGAGGCTAACGCCTTAGCAGACCCTCTTCGTCGCCGTCGGCTGGGGGAGAGGAGGCGCCGGTACGCGCATCTTCTCCCGCCACCCTAGAGGAGCTACTGCGGGGGGGTCTCTCGTTGACTCCCCTACACGTCATCGGGGCGGTCGGGATGCTCTGTGAATCGAGGGCATCCCGGTTTAGGCGAGGCAGGCCCGCGGGGTACGGGCTTTCCGCAGGGGTGTTGTAGTGAATGCGCAAGCGATCCTGCACACCCCATTGCACTGCGGCGACGGGTTCCGCTGTGGGTTTTAGTGACTAGGAGTCTCACAGTACCCTACCCATTGACGGCCGGTAGGGTCCCCATGATGGGTTTCCCCAGCGTCAAAAAAATAAAATAAAAAAAAAACAAATTAAAAAAAAAAAAAGGTTATCGACCTAAGCACATGTCAACGAAGCCGCTACAGGACAAACAAAAACATAAAAACAGCATTTCACAGAGGGCACCATGGTGTACACAATCCCCGAAACCACAACAGAGCTCCAAGTGGGAAGCAAAAAGGATTACACATACATAATCAATTGGAAACCATGCCACGAAAGAGGAGGAGAGCTGGTAATGGGGGAGGTCAAATATACCGATGACCTGATGTTGTCCACAATCCTTTCCTTCCTGGGACCCTTTACAACCCAATGCATATTTGGAGCACGAAATGCGACTGTTCCCTCCGAAATAAAAGACCGCCCTCAGGAAGAAAAGGATCAGGGTGTCTTAGCCCTAGTGCTGACTTCATTAATGACATTGGCGAAGCCAGTGACCCCCATGAACTCAGCTGCCTACCAGAAACGGTGGTCCACAGCTCTTGTCACCCTTTCCATACAAGATTTGGTGGCCATGGGCTCATGGACTGGAGTAGTTAAGACAGCCACAAGGTTTCAAGGTATCATCGCGGTCAGGAGCGATCTGCGGCAAGAGATTGTAGACAGGGTCTTGACGATGACAGATGAAACCGGTATTAAGGGGGCTATAATAGCTCAGTTAAGGATGGTCTGGTCATACGCCTCTCTCAAGGCAGCAGAGTTCATGGAGAAATTCAGCAAAACCCCTTGCCGTGCGCTTGAGATACCTTCGGTGTTAGACCAGGCCCTCCTTCTGAAACAAAGATGGGAAGCTGCAGAGAGAGAAGACCCAAATTTCCCTTACAGTAGAGTAAGAAACCCAAATGCACATCCCGAGCTGAACCACGCACACTTTCCCGACCTCTATTACGCGGCGATAGCTTATGCCAAAGCCAATAAGTTAATAGGGGAAAACTTTCACGTCTCCCAGCCTAACAAAGTACAGAATGCACTCCTGATCGATAGGTACATCACCAAGATGGCGGTGGCCGCCATGGGTGAAATAACCGAAGAAACACGACAAAAGTTAATGACACTAGATATCCAGTCGGACACAGGAGGTCGCACGACACCGACTCCGAAGAAGAGGAGGAGCGCACCCACAAGAAAAGACCCCGACGCCACTGAAAGAGGGCCTTGCGAAGGATTAGATTATAAGCTTGTACTATCTTTAAGAAAAAACTCAGGGCAGTTGCTGGACTGCTACTGGGCGCGTCCCCCGGGTGGCGGATAGGGGAATGCCACCACATTGGTGGTACCGGTTCAACCGGCGCGGACCAAAACTAGCAGGCATGGCCGTGCCTTTAGGGGTTCGTTAACCCCACGGCCTAGGGGAGCACACCCTAAACAAAGCCGAAGCTGTGGATCAGCCTTTCTTCTTCATGATGGCCAGTAATAAAATGAAACTACCCCAGGAGGGTATCAGTGCAAGCACTGAGGAATCCGTCCACGCTACGGCGTGCTGTCCCGCGAATTCTGGGGGGGACAATTGCGGTCATTGTGATGTCGGAGTGGAGCCCGGGAAGGGCGGAGAGATGCAGAGAAGGAGAGACGGAGTGTTGCCCGAGAAGGGTGGAGTTTTGAGGAGGCCCGTGACGGGCGGTGTTAGTGTAGTGCCAGAGACTGGCGGAGTTAGAACCAGGTCAACGAAGGGTGTTGGCAGCGTGCTCCGTAAAGGTATAGCAGCCCAAGGCTACCGAAGTTCGTCAGAATCACCTGAAGACGACAAGAGGCCTGATGAGAAAACTGCGGTTAATCGCGCAAGGGGGCGGCCACCCACCACAGGCCAATATGTGGGATTGGCGGAAGCTCAGCGAGCCCTCAACGAGGCTAGAAGGGAAGAGCTCAGACTCAGAGCCCAAAAGGAGGTAGCAGAGAAGGTGTCGGCACTCAAGGCCAGAACCAGTCCCCGTTTACCAGCTAAGGCGACTGGAGCTAATATGGAGACCGAACTAGTAACAAAGCTGCAAGAGATGGTCCAAAATAGCCTGGAAGTGATTGAGATGGTTGCAACAAAATCCGGCAACTTGAAGGGCGGTTTTGTGAAGGCCCTCAAAGATGCGGCCAGTACAATTGCAGGCGCCGTGGAGACTCTTGTACAGCGCACTGCAACAGAGGAGATAACAGAGCTCCGGGCAAATAATGAAAAGCTGCAAACGGAGTTGACTGGGCTGAGGAGTGAAGTGGCAGCAATGAGATTGGAGCTCGAAAAATCACGAGCAGCGCCACTACCTCAACCACCTCCCACTGTTTCAGCTCGGAGTACGGAGGAGATAGCGCAAGCTATAATGGTCCAAGTCGGAACTATGCTGAATGTGCGTTTGAAGGCATTTGAAGATCGGTTCCTGCTGGAGCAACGTGCTCACCCCTCGCGGGATGAGACGAGAACTGCAACCGCCCCCTTGGCAGCGCAAATAAATCCTACAATAGAGGAAAGGAAAAAGAAGAAGCCCAAGGGGAAGAAGAAGAAGGCAAGTGCGTCCCTGCAAGCCGCACCACAGGATCCGCGTCCTTTGCAACCTGCTCCGGCCAATCTGTCGGAGGAGTGGAGCGTTGTGGTAAAGAAGGGCTCAAAAAAGAAGGAAAGGGCCAAGAAAAAGATGTCGGAGCAAAGGACACAAAAGTCCAAGCTGCCCAAGCTGCGCCCACCGAGATCTGCGGCGGTGGTCATTAGGCTACAGCCAGAAGCGACAGAGCGCCTAACCTATAGTGACGTGTTCGCTCGGGTGAAGCGCGAAGTGCGCTGGAGGAGGCGGTTTGTCAGGGACCAAACGTTCTCCTTGTCCTGCATCTCGCAAAAGTCCCTGAAGCTCTTCGTGGATTCCCTTGTCAGGGCTTCCACGTAAGAGGCTTTGGCTTCCTCTCTCTCTCTTAATATATTATCGATTGGCTTATTGCCGCGCTTGAGGTCGGAAATTCGATGGTGGAGCTTTATGAGGTGTTCCAGTTCCTCATTCCACCACGGAATGCGTGTTTTGTATTTAGGTTTGGATTGGAGTGTTCTATTGCATGTTTTTTGAATGATGTGGGTGAATTCTTTAATTAAGTTATCTGTATCAGTTGCGTTTAGCTGTTTTTTTCAATTTCCCGGTGTATATTGGGGAAATAAAGTATGGGGAGGTATACTAGACGTAATTACAATGTATTTAAAACAATTTTAGACGAAATTTAGACAAAAATATTTTTTTAACATGATTATAATATATAAATGATTTTTTTTTAATTTAAGACTTAATTATACTTAGACTATAGAAATAGGAAGATATACAGCTAAAACTACCTAATTTAGTAAAAACAATGCAATGATAAGCAGATTGAAAGACATTTTTAAAATTTTTATATATGCAATAATGTATGAAGAATTCTATCGCCTAAGTAACCTCGGTTTAGGTATTATTGTGATTTTTCAATTTCCCGGTGTATATTGGGGAAATAAAGTATGGGGAGGTATACTAGACGTAATTACAATGTATTTAAAACAATTTTAGACGAAAATATTTTATTAACGTGATTATAATATATAAATGATTTTTTTTAATTTAAGACTTAATTATACTTAGACTATAGAAATAGGAAGATATACAGCTAAAACTACCTAATTTAGTAAAAACAATGCAATGATAAGCAGATTGAAAGACATTTTTAAAATTTTTATATATGCAATAATGTATGAAGAATTCTATCGCCTAAGTAACCTCGGTTTAGGTATTATTGTGATTTTCCAATTTCCCGGTGTATATTGGGGAAATAAACTATGGGGAGGTATATTATATGTAATTACAATATATTTAAAACAATTTTAGACGAAATTTAGACAAAAATATTTTTTTTACGTGATTATAATATATAAATGAAATTTTTTAATTTAAGACTTAATTATACTTAGACTATAGAAATAGGAAGATATACAGCTAAAACTACCTAATTTAGTAAAAACAATGCAATGATAAGCAGATTGAAAGACATTTTTAAAATTTTTATATATGCAATAATGTATGAAGAATTCTATCGCCTAAGTAACCTCGGTTTAGGTATTATTGTGATTTTCCAATTTCCCGGTGTATATTGGGGAAATAAAGTATGGGGAGGTATACTAGACGTAATTACAATGTATTTAAAACAATTTTAGACGAAATTTAGACAAAAATATTTTTTTAACGTGATTATAATTGTACGCGCCCTTTGCAGAGTGTGTGTAGTGACATTTATTGTTATCTGTGTTACGTGATCTATGGCAACCCTGTAAAAAATAGACTTCCATATCCGCACTTACCTTTTTCTAATAATGGACTCCACGCCGACATTAAATAATTGTTAATGTTAAAAAAGTTAAAATTGTTGATGTAGAATTAAATATTGGTTTTGTCGCTTCCAAATTTGTTTTATTAATAAACAAGTGGCGACCGTGACAGGACGATTAAGTTCCTGCATATAAATAGACACATTGGGCCAACCACGTGCCGGTCAATAAGTAGCATCGCAGCACCTGGGCCCAAGAAGCGACTTCCAAGAAAGAGAAACCCTTCAGCATCCAACATCTTACATGGGCAAGCAGCAGCATTGTGGATGTGAATCCACAACACTTCTTCAGTCGACCAACCAGCTAAGTGTCCCTGCCTTTCCCACTACACTTCTAATCAATTCCTTCCAAGTATAGACTCCATTCTGTGTATGCAATAATATAATAATAACCCTCAACAGGTACCTAGCATCTCTAACCAAATTTTACAGGTTACCGAACAAAAGATTCATATAAATTAAATATTCAGTTTTTATGTTTAATAGGTACAAAGGACTACAATTTTCTACAATTACAAGCATAAAGCATATTTATATAATCATAATATATTATAATTTACATTCTAAAACGACAATATAGATACAGTTATTTACATATATAATTCACATCTAAATAATTCATATCTAAAATTTATATCTAAAAGCAAGAGTAAAAAGTGTTTCAAATTTATATTATCAATCTATTTGCATTAACATATTATAACTTACATCTAAAAATAAGGATAAATAATTAGTATTTGTATTTTACATATTATTGTTATATTTGTTTTATGTTAGGTATTTTTTCTATCATCCTACATTTATCAATTTCAGAAAACAAAGCTGGCTTGATACTTTCTGTCCCTTCTCCTTATTTAACTGGCTCGGGTAAGGCTACCTGCTTAGATCAGAATATCAGATTCCCCGGAGATTGAAGTAAGGCAATTTTTTATAATTTAGTATTGTTAATGCAAACATACAATCATGTCTGAAGTTAAACTGAGAGAACTTATTTTAAAACGAAGCTCAATAAAAGGACGTCTTACTAAATTTAAAAATTTTATAAATCAATATAAATTATTAACATCTGTAGACGAGATAGAAGTTGCTAAGTTGAATATTCAGTTAGGTAAGATTGAAAGTTTATGTACAGCCTTTGAAGAGATACAAGGTCAGATTGAGGTATTGAATCCAACAAATTTAGATGAGGAGCTCGAGGAGCGTGACTCCATTGAGTTAGAATTTGCCACTTTAATAGCTACGGCTCAACAATTTCAAACTACTCAAGCAAGCAGTTCTAAGGTAGAAGTTGGCGGCTCCTCCCATTGTTGCCATGAGCAAACTGGTCTAGGTTTTAGGCCCCCTACATTGCAGATAGGAAAATTTGATGGGAGTTATAACAAGTGGCTTGAATTCAGAGATCTTTATTGTTCACTAGTTCATGATAACAAGTTCATACCTGCTCCGATCAAGTTTTGCTATCTAAACTCTTACCTGGAAGGTGAGGCCTCACGAGTAATCAGTAACCTCGAAGTAACTCAAGCGAATTACAATAAAGCTTGGGACCTGTTGTGCGAACGCTATGATAACAAACGTTTGTTAATTAAAGGTCATTTAAATTCATTATTGAACTTTGATATTAAGTCAAGTGAATCTGATAAGGTGCTTAGGTCTATAGTAGATAACATTAATAAGAATTTGCGTGCACTTGCAAGCCTTGGTGAGCCCACAACATATTGGGACACTTTAATAATCCATATAGTTTCTTCAAAGCTTGCAAGTCAAACTAGTATGAAGTGGGAAGAGTTCAGAAATTCGCTTCTGACACTCCTTCTCTTGAACAGTTTAATAAATTTCTTAAAGACCGTGCTGACATTCTTGAAACTTACAACCATCCAAGGTCAAGCGGTAATACAAATAGTGAATTAAATAATTTTAATAAGAAGAAGCGGG